CTTAATGGTGATTGTTGTTTATCAGATTTTAGTTTAGCTGTTCGATGTGATCCGTATGTAAAGTTTTTTTTTTTGTTTTTCATTATAAATAAGTCAAAAAAGAAAAAAAAAATTTGTTTTGTTTTTGTTAGTCATACACAAATAATACAAGGTGGTGGTATTGAACGTTTTTATCATCGTGTTGGAACAAAACTTTATATGCCACCTGAATTACTTGATAGAAATAGTAAATTTAATTTTGATCGTATAAATTCATATCAACAAGGTGATATGTATTCATTAGCACTTGTTCTATGGGAAATAGGAAATTGTTGTTGTTCATTAATACATATAAGACCATATGAAAATCAATTATCAATTAATTTTAATCTTGATGATCTTATTCAACTTATTTTAATTGAACAAAAACGTCCAATATGTTGTATAAATACATCAGATAAAGTAATCAAAAGAAAATATTGTTATTGTTACTGATTTATTTTTATTTTGTCTAGATTCTTATATCATTTTTTAATTTACTTGATTTATATTGGTGTCAAGATCCATATGCACGTCAATCGGCAGCTAATCTACAAGATCAACTTCGACAATTACGTCCAATAAATAAATCTTCCTAGTTTTGATTGTATTCTTATTTTTTATACTCATATCAATCATATGTCAGATATTATCTATATGTTTATATATTTGTAAGTTTGTTTATATATGAAATAAAATTACCGTCAGATAAATAAATACTATATATATATATATACTTGATTTTCGGATTTTATAACGAAAAAAAGAATAATCAATTACTATATTTGTACAAAGTAAGTTTGAAAGATATATATATATATGTATTATGTTAATACTTATTTTGTTTTTTTTTAAAGATAGACAATATAATTTATTCAGCTGAAAATAAAATCTATTTCTTTTTTTTTGAAAAGATAGATTGATCATTTGTTATATCTTATATTTAAAAAAGAAAACAATCGATGTTTTGTTTTTTCTTGTTTGATAATTAGTTTTCTTTTCGATATGAGATTATATTACCATATGCATATATATGCTCGACATAAATATTCGATCATTCATGCATTCATAATATAATATATTTGTATTGATACTTCATATGTTGATTGTTTCATACTAATGAAACAATGATTTGAATGAAAAGGTATGACCTATATTGTTTATTATAACCATTCAATAAAATCATGACAATTGCGATGATTCAACCATGTCTTTTTAACTTCTAGTGAGTGCAAAAAATAGATTTTGATGATTATCGATATAGACTTTGTCCGTATAATACAAATGGAAAAAATGAATCCATACAAAAAAAAAAAAAACCTTTATTTATTTATCTTTTTTCGACCTAGAAAGTTATTTTGTATGCAAAGGGTTACTTATGTTTTCCTTTTTTTATAAGCTCACTGTCATTATATTTGACATGTGATGTGAAAAGAATATATATTAACATGCATTGACTATTATATTAAAAAAACAGAAAAAAAAAAAGATTTTTTGTTTTTTCTTTACTTCTGTCTTTATTTTATATGAGTAGGTAGGTAAAAGAAAAAAAAAAGACAAGAAAGAATCGTTAAAATAACAACTAATGCTTTCCCGTTATTGATGACTCAACTATCATATCATTCTTCGTCCTTGACTCCGATAGTTTCAAAAAAACATTATGTTTTATTCATCATACTAAACGATCAAAAATTTGATTTCAAAATGCTGATTGATTAATGAAAAAATTTTCTTTTATTTTTTTTTTAGATGGATGAATATTATTATTGTTCATCAAATCATGATTATTCTACGAAGATTATTGAAGATTCTATTGATGAATATTTAGATAATCCTAATTTAAGTGTTTCATATATGATTGAAAAAGTGAAGAAAAAAAAAAAACTTCTTGTTTTTTGTTTTTTATATCTTTATATTTTTATTTTAGTATGATGTTCCTATGACAAATAATGACAAAAATAAATCGAAAAAAAATTTACGTTGTATTGTATGTAACGGAAGAGCATTTGGATATAATTTTGATCGAATATCATGTGAAAGTTGTAAAGGTAAAATAAATAATTCGAAAACAAAACAAAAAAATAATTTTATATATTTTTTTTTCTAGCTTTTTTTCGACGAAATGCTTTAAGAGATATGGTAAATATTGTTTTGATAATTTTATATATTATTATTATTATTTTTTTCTTAGAATGAATTACATTGTCGATTTTCTGGTAATTGTAATATTACAGTAGAAACTCGACGACATTGTTCATATTGTCGAATAAAAAAATGTTTTGCTGTAGGTATGTATGAAAGATATTTGAAAAAGAAAAATATTAAATTACATATGAGACATTATCTGACACACATGCAAAGTACTTTGAAGAACGCGTCAAAGGTCATACGAACTAAAGAAAGGTTATGTAATTGTTAGAAATAAATTCAGATGCAAGAAAATAATTTATATATTGAATCATACGATAAGATAATGATTTGATTGTGTTTTTAATTTTGTTAATAATTTTTTGTTTTTATTTTTCAACAAACTAAATTAAGAATGTATTGCAGGCACGTGCCGAAGGGGGGGGGCCCATGGGATTCGGGTCCCCCCCGTCAGGGCGGAAGAGGCCTGTAAGGGGGGGGGGGTACAGATATACGTTTTTTCCCCAGCAAATTTTCCCATGGTGGGCCTTCCCCCCTCCCCCTTAAAGACTTTGGGCCCTTCCCTCAGAAAATTTCTAGGTACGTGCCTGATGTATTTACTATGTATATTATTTGAATCATAATACCAATGTTTTATAATGAATATGTATATCATATTAATTGATTTTCTTTTGTTTTTGTTTTTTTTTGTATTAAGGTATGAGAAAAGAATCAATAAGAAGTGACGAAGAAAAATTTACGAAACGCCTTCAACTAATGAAAAATCATCGTCGTAAACATTCTGAGAAGACAATTGAAGTTAGTTTGTTTTTAGAAAATAAATTCATAAATTCTATTGTCTTTATTTAGAATCCAACTTTAATATCAATTGGAAATTCACGTATTATAATGATATTAAGTCCAATAGATCGAATACGTCTTAATAATATAATACATTGTTATGATCAATTTAGTGGTGAACCTAGTTCATCAACATATTGTCCACCATCAACAGTTCTTTGTTTACGTATTGATGAATTTTTTAATCGTAAAAAACCAATTTTTATTAATTTTATATCTTATTTTAAACATTTACCTGAATTACAAACATTAAATGTTGATGATCAAGTATCATTAATTAAACAAAATATTCGTCTTTTAATACCATTGAATTATGCTCTATTAAAAACACATATAAATTCAAAATTTCGTGAAACACCACGTATACAAACAATTGGTTGTATTAATAATGTTAATTTACATGAAATGTTTCGATCATTATCAAATTCTTTTGTTGATTTCGTTACATATGATCCAATTATAGTTAAATTATTGGTTGTTATTCTATTTTTTACAGCTAATCCTTTAACAACAAGATCTATATATGATCCAGTACAGTTCAAACAATTAAATAATATAAAACAAATTCAATCATCATATACTGAATTATTATGGTTATATATGCTTGAAAAATACGGTGAACAAAATGCAATAATTTTATTTACAAAAATGATAACAAAATATTTATATCTTCAAATTGTGATCGATAGAATCGATTCAATAATTCGAATGAATAATGATATACATAATATTGATTCATTAATGCAATCATTTTTACAACTAACATAATAAAAAAAAAATAAAAAAATAATTTTTTTTTAGGAAAAACTTCATTTATAATATAGATGCATTTTTCTTTTTGTCGTTTCATTCAGGTAATAAAACATGTTGTTCATTAAAAACTCTTATCGTTTCAGTTTTTTGAGAAATTGAATTCGATTATTTTGAAATAAGTGATATATTCATGACGAATATGTCATAGTGCTCTTGCATTTTTAAAGTACAAATTATTCTTGTATTTTTCTTTTTTTTTTGCATTTTAAAGTGTAAAATAGAACAAATAAATATATATTACAAAAATTGCAATGATTTATCATGCATATCGCGATTAATGAATATTTTGTTTTTTTTTTACGAAATGTCAGATTTCTCATTAAACTGGTGAGCATATTCAAACAGCTGATACCAGTCACATTAAATTGTTTTTCGATTTAGTTACAAGTTTAATCATTTAGTCTCAATATCATGACAAAAGATAGTCATTATATAGAAAAATTAATCGATTGAGAAAATGACAAAATCATTAAATAAAATATTCTATGACACATTAACTTCGACATTTGTAAAACAGATGTTACAAATTTAATAGACAATCTAGTAGAAAATGTGTGGGAACAAAACAATAAAATAAACCATTTGAATTATTAATTTTGATGAAAAAAAAAATGATGACATGAGAGAATAATTTTTTGAAATATTTTCAACAAAAAATAATGTCTTATTCTCATTATTTGCAGGCAAATATCTCACAAGGAAATATTTTCAATTGATTTCTCACTGAAGTCTAGTAGATTGTAGACTATCGACTATATTGATTTTAGATATGACTATAAGAAATTTTCATAGATGTTTACATATTGATTTTCTAGACTAACAAAAATGGATGCGAAATTAAATGGGCTCGGAAAAAAGAGATACTTGAGCTCGGTGTGTTTAATTGGCGTTAAAAAGAGAGAAATGAGCTCGGTAATTAATTTATGAAAAGTAATTAATGAGTGTGGGTGTTGATTCGGATGTGCTGGTAGATCAGAAGAACACCCACACCCTCTTACAAACAGCTGAACGTATGCTGTACGACTGGTCATTAGCTAGTATCAGTACACCATTTACGATTCAAATCGAATTTAATGATGATTTAGCAGCTAGGGCATATAAATGGTTACAAAAACTTGATCGAACAAAAGTGTTTACATTTAGGCGCAGCTAGTTACGTTGTACCTTCTTCTGAACCAAAAATGGATACATTATTATGGATACAACATTACCATAGTTTATCTTGGAATTCTTACGATGAATTTATCGACTGGTTAAATTCTGCGTGTTTACTTGATTTTTCTTGTTTAACTCCACCATTATTTTGTTCATGTAAATATGGCCTCAAAGAATATTCTTGCATTCATTCTTTGGGTTTATTAATGATGTGGAGTCATCGTAAAATTCCACAACAACTTGGAATAAGAAGGGGAAAAGGTCGTCCAAAGAAAGTTAAATTAGCTTTAACAAAAGACTGAATATTAGTAAAAATCTATTGTAACCTAGCATTTTTTTTGTTCTTGAACTATTTTTTTCTTATTAAATATACTTTGCCACTGACAAAATCATTAATTAATTTTCATAAATTAATTATCGAGCTCATAACAACAAAAATAAAATTAACCGAGCTCAATTTATATCTTTTCAGAGTATAAATTAATTTCCGACCTCAAAACTTTCATTTATATAAAAAAAAATATAATTTTATTACAACCGAGCTCATTTCTCTCATTTTAACGCCAATTAAACACACCGAGCTCAAATCTCTCTTTTTTCCGAGCTCATTTATTATTTTATCCAACCAAAAATTTTCCCAAAATGTAATCACATTATAGACTTATCTATAGGATAATAATCTTTTTTGCTTTTCAAAAACGAATTTCAAGTAAAAATAATATTATATTCAAGATCGTCATATTGAAATGTTGATTTAGATGTATGTAGAAACTATGAAAATTGGTTGACAAATTTATAATAAAAGAATATACGCTTTTTTTTTAATCAAAATTTTCACTTGTAAGAAAAAAATAGAGTATCAGCTCATAAATTATATAAAATTCTTCTGTAGATCTAATGATCTTAGTTTTAAAAATAAATTTCAATTAAATTGCTGCTTGTAGCAAAGAAACATATGTTTCTTTGTAGTGATTTGCAATTTGTTAATATCATCTTCTATGTTTTTCTTAATATTAATTTAGCTGATTTGTTTGAATTGAAGCTTTTATCAACAATGGCTAATGTTTTTTTTTTAATAAATTTCTCGACCAGTTTTCGTTTTCTATTCTATCTGTTCCAGATGTTTTATAATCTAAATAGATAAAAAAATTTTGACCGAAAAGTTGAGCATGGTTGTTTAGTGTACAATCGACTAGCTTTTATTAAGAAACCAATTGATCAGTTGAAAACATTCACTCATCAAATGATTTAGATTAATTACTTGTGTTGCCATAGGATGCTCAGAGATCTCTTATCAACATTAAACTTTTATGATAATGAATACAATTATCATTAGAAAAATCTAAATAATTAGGTAAAAAGTTACGCATCAATTTAACTATGTATCATTGATTGCTTTAAACAAAATTTGACTATAATTATTGAATTGTATTAACACGAGAATTTAACTAGAAACTTAAAACATTAAAAAATCTTCCGCTAGGATAATAAAAAAAGCGAGGAGCAAAATTGAAACACGAGTAAATTCCATATTTCGGAGTACTGAAGTTTTTTAGTACAAAGGAAAAAAAAAATTCATTGCATTTATTTTATCAGAATGTAGTTTGTAATCAATAAACTTGAAATACATCAATCTTTATATCCAAATGATCATCTAAAATACCTTTTTCTCGTCTAATTCGCAAAAGTCGTGAACTCTTTTTTTTTCTAGTAAATAAAGCTATTTTATTATCATTCTAGCCAACAATTTTCTCATTAACTATGACTCAATCTGGTATGGATTATCGTTTTCCATCCAATATTCTTCATTAACAAATGACTATTATATTGACAGACTTCAAGTATCTGATGTTAAACCAAAAAAAAATGTTAATTTTATGACGACAAGAGATTCTTTAATTCAATTAGATATACATTTATTGTTCAGGCTATTACTTCCTCTGACGAATGTACTTTTTCTAATAAAGTCAATTTTTGCTAAAAGAAAAATGAAAAATCAAATAAATGCATGAGATCATAAATTAAGATCTAATCTTTCATAAACTATATGATTTTTTTTTGTATGATACTTTTTATAAATTTCTACAATCCTACTCCAACTTTTGCTGATTGAGATATAGAAATAGTTTAGATATACGATGCAATTCTAACAAAAAACAGTTAACTGACGTAGTCAGAGCATAGAAATAATACTCAACTTTTCTATCTGCTAAAATAAATCATCAAGCTATTCACAAAACCAGATACTAAACAGAAATATAATACATCACCAAACTTTTTTTCAAAACCACAATAATTAAATCGTATAAAAATGTCGCGAAATATGAACATACCGATCTTTATACATTGCTGAGGACATCTCAATAAGTGAGGATACTACGCAATCTAGTACTTACCATATGTCATACATTTTCATTACCTTTTATATCACCTATACGTACATTACGTCCCTTACATCCATTACCTCGTGTACATCGTATATTTCCTATACCTCTCTGACCTTGTATATCTCCATTGCTCTCGTATGCCTCCTATACATTTCTTACCTTGCATACATTCATTAACTTCTCTACCTCGTATACCTACATTACTTTTTGTAGTTCTTATATCTCGCATACATGGTGTAGCTCCTATATCTCCTATACTTTTATTACCTTTTATATTTCCTATCCCTCTTTAACCTTGTATACCTTCATTACTTTCTATACTTCTTTTACCTCGCATATCTGCATTACGTTTTTGTATTTCCTATACCTCGCATAGCTCCTATACATGCGTGAGCTTTTATATTTCCTATACCTCTCTGACCTTGTATACCTTCATTACCTTTATTACCTCATATACTTCCCATATTTCCTATACTTCTCGTACATTATAGGCCTCCATTAACTTCTATACCTCTATTACCTCATATATCTTCATTACCTTACATATATCATCTACCTAGTTTACCTGCTATACCTCCATTACTCTTTATATCTTCCCTTGTGGAAACTCTAGGAATGTGATAGAAATTCAAAAAACCGTCTAATTTTTTCAATATATATATATATATCTTTCAAACTAAAAGAAATGAACTATGTAGAGAAAAATCCCATTGACAAGAATTTTTAAATCCTTGTTTGTCGAATATCTTTCGAAAACATCATGATATATCTCTACAAATTTTATCATAGTCTTTTTTCCACAATCCCAATATGTCATAAAAATTTCATACGATTCAAATTTATCTGACCTAAGATCGATTTTCGAAAAAAAAGGTTCAGATATTTAAATCGATTACTGAAATTCAAGATTGACACATACATATTTATGAATATTCTCCGCATCTAAAAAAAAAACCATTCGAAAGAAAAAATATTAGCGTTACCCTTTGAAGAAATAAATCATTTCACACATAATCAAGAGAATATAAACAAGTGAACATTTACTAGACATAATCATAATTTACTATTCAATTATAAGCTTACAGGTTTTTTTCTCTCCATATAAAATAATCAATTATAACTTTTATATTAAGTCAAGAAAAAAGTGCAGACTTCTTTCCTCTTCTTTTTTTTTTTTTTAATTATTACAATACAAACAATTATAAAACAGATTCTATTGAATGATATAAAAACAATGAAGTGTGAACATAATCATTTTTATTCTCCTTTCGTTCATTGCGGATCACTAGTCTCTTCTACTAAACAATCAATTACAAGCATAACAGGACAAGAATTGAACATAAGACATATATTACATATAAAAATTACTTTAGCTAATTTATATAAGAATATCTTCTGTCATATTTGATGATTTGTGTATTCAATTAGTCAAAAAAAATCTTTATAGAAACCATCTGTTTGCTTTTTTTTAACAAGAAGATCAACACATTACAATCATGATGATATGTATTCATTTTAAGAATTCAATTTCATATAAGTCAAGGCACTTGCTGTGATGCGAGATATAGTGAAAGAAGGTGGACTAGACAGTAAAATCTAATATGACAATCAATCATCATGAGAGAATATGTGTTAAGTGAAACCACTCAAGATACAAATCATATCAAACATAATATTTGCTAAATAGGTGTCAACGACAAGGTCTCATACGATTGTGAATATATACAAATAATATCTAAGTACATATATCTCTTGAAGATTTTTGTTTTGTTTTTTATTTTCGAATAAAAACAAAAATTTTTTTTTTTTTAGAAAAATACAAAAATATTTATCATATCAATTATATATTCGGCATAGGCTTTTTTTTTTTATTTTCGTTTTGATCAAAATGAATAGAGTCATCAAATTGACCAGAGAAGAGGAGAAGAAAAAAAACGAAAGAACAGAAGGGAGAGTATACCGAGAGAGTAAAGAAAAACGGACAAAAGTATTGTCTCTAATAAAAAAAAAAAGAAGAAGAAAAAAAGAAGCGAAACAAATAAGAAAGAATGTACAAGACATAACATATATACACGTCTTGGTATACACCACTTGACTCATTTATTTTCTGCCATTGTATACTCAATGAATTATTACAATTAATTTGATCATGCACATTTAATTTTTATTAATTTTCAAACAATAAAAATCAAATATCTCGAAAGAAAACAAAATGAACATGTAAGTTTTCTTTTATCAAATAAAATTCATTTACACTTGTCCTATATTCAATAATTTTACTAAGATGTTTTAAGATCAAAGATAATCTCTATATCTAGTAAGTGTATTGCCCTGTAGACATATTATTTATATTCAAAATCAATATCATCCATATGTTGTTTGTCGAATTGATCGACAGATTCCCTACTGTGTTCTGTGTGCCGCCCAATGTAAACTTATGCAATATTTTTATTAATACAAATTAATTATAATTTTTTTCTTCTATCATGATTACACATATGTTATACATATATATATGATCATCTTGATTCTACTGTAGAGACATCTTATCAAAACGAAGCACGGGGATGTAGCTCACTCGGTAGAGCGCTCGCTTTGCATGCGAGAGGCACCGGGATCGATGCCCGGCATCTCCATTCAACATATCTTTTTTTTTGCTTTTTCTTACAAACATATTATATATGTTCTGCTTATATAGGCAAGCATATGAAACATAGAAATTCTTCTTTTTTTTCTCTAGCTTATTTTAAAATATAAAAATAATTTGATCTTTCCGTGGACATTGACGAGGCCGCAAGGAATCAAATTGAACAAAAGAATAAAAAAAAAAAATATCAATTGATTTACCTTGACTGACAACCTCTCTTGATCATATAAAGATCAATTTTCATATATGCATACATAGCTTTTGTTCT